TTTAACTCCTTTTGTAACAACTTTTCCTTTACATCCATTACGGTATTTATTGCACAACCAATTGATAGTCTTCTGTTTATCATTATGACTATAATGTTTATATATATAACCATCATATTTTAAATTACGTCCTCCTATTTTATTTTTAACAATAGAGAATTTGCCATCTTAAATTTGTAAAATAAGTTAATTCATTATTTTTCGAAATCATAAAATTTCCTATCTATTATTCGTTATAAAATGCTTGATTGGTGTATAGAGAAGAAAAAAGGTGTGGTACGAAGTACGATTACGAGCAAATCTGAAGCACTTGTCAAGAAGCCAGATTTCCAGAAGAAATGTCAAGTAAAACAAAATATGTATTAACAGTGTTAGGTCCTGGTGTAAAATCAATGGATGATATTATTTAGGGGATTTTAGTAGATTCAGGGGTAGTGTACGGCTATAAAAAGAATATCAAGGGTTAATGTGGAATCTGGGTGTATTTTTGTGAAGTTTGGTTGATTATGAGATGGATGGCTCGGCTATGTTTCGGCTTGGGATCTTTCCATGATAGTTCTATTCCATCTCCAATCTAATGAATTTTTCCACAGCACATACTATCCTATATTAAATTTAGAGTTCCCTGTCTGTTTGTTTGTTTGTCCGCAGCTTTGAATTTTGCTGTGTTTGGCGTTGTGTTTATTTTTAATTAGAAATGACAAAATATCCCAAAAAGAAATAGTGTGTATTTAGAAGGTTAAGAAAGTAATGAGATTTTATAGAATTTGTTTTGCCATGTTTTTGGGTTTATTGTTTGTAGTGGCCAAGCCGGGAATGGCCAAAAGACTAGTGTCCAGAAATTGTTATTGAAAAGGTTTCGTAATGTCTGAAAAGACTCTGCTAATGGATGGAAGTAGAGTTACATAAATGGGCAACAAAAAAGGGTCTTTAATGAGCAAGAGAAAGAGTGTCAATGTGCTTGAAAAACGGTCCCACAATGGTTTGAGAGAGGTGGATCCATCAGTGGTTGAGATAAGTGCCCGGCATTGGTATTGAAAAAAGTTAAAAAGTTATCTCAATGTGTGTGATAGTCTTACATAGTGTGATAATTACCTGTTTGATTAGAAGTATTCATTTCAGGATTTAAACCCAAATTTAACCAATTTTGAGAAGATTCTTGACCAGAAGGATTAGTTCCTTGAGGGTATTCTGCATTCATATCTTGACGTTGAGTTGGGAATAAAGACTGATTAGTGCCAAGAGTTAAATCCAAATTTAACCAATTTTGTGAAGATTCTTGACCAGAAGGATTAGTATGCTGATGTTGATATGGATAATTGCCATATCCTAATTGCAAATCCCACAAATTTCGAGGCACTTGACCAGACGGATTCCCTTGTAGATGTTGAGGTGAGTTTAAAAATGGATTATTGCCAAAACCTCGATTCAAATCAAACAAATTTTGAGAATGTTCTGTGCCGGAATACATTCCTTGAGAGTATCCTTCAGTACTTGGGGGTATGCTTCCAGTTCCAGTTCCTCCATGGCCGCTAGTTCCTGTCCCGCTTGTTTCACCATCTCGATATTGAAAAGGATTGAAATGATGTTCTTCATCCGTTTCATCATCGCTATTAGTTGAATCAACAAGATGAGGCGTTAAAAATAAGCAAAGAAATAAAAATATTGAAAGCTTCATTACTTTCTGGAATTATTTTAAAAATATTTGAAATAGTTAATTTAAAAATATATTTAAGTTTAAATCCCTAATTGACTTTAAATGCTAAACAAATGCTAAGCTTTTCTTATTTGCGTTAAATAGTAAGAGACTGATTTCATCAACTATTTTAGCCGGTTTATAAGGGTAATTTTAAAATGCTAAATAAGACGCAGTTATTCAACTTCCACCTTTTTTTATACCGAAACTTGATACGACAAAAAATTTTAAAATTCCGAATGAATTTTTCTTTAGTCGATAACATCGTTGTCCTAAAGACATTAACATGTCTATTGCTTAAGGAATCCGACTGAGGGCCCTGTTCGTTTTCTTTTACCGAGTTTTGTCTTTAGATTCATTATAAATCATAAAAATTTACAGCTAAAACAACAACTACCGAATAATTTCAAAATCTAGTCTGTAAAATATCCAACGATATTCCGTTAAATGTATCTTTATCGACATACAGGCTAAATCACATGAATCAAGTCTTGGCAGCTCCACGTAAACAAATTTTAGAGCAGAAAGGGTCGTAGTAAATGGAAGAGGAGAGTGAAAGATAAAAAGAGCTGCACATACAGTAATGCCTGCCAAGACTTGATTCATGTGATTTTACTTGGATGATTGTCCTATCCCTGCTCCACGTAAACAAATTTTAGAGCAGAAAGGGTCGTAGTAAATGGAAGAGGGGAGTGAAAGATAAAAAGAGCTGCACTTACAGTAATGCCTGCCAAGACTTGATTCATGTGATTTTACTTGGATGATTGTCCTATCCTAAATAAAAGAGGGGAGTGAAAGATAAAAAGAGCCGGCCGGAGCCCCAATGAGACTGAAATTTTTTATTTGTATCCTAAATAAAGAAAATTTTTTTCAAACTACGGTCGCGTATTTCAAGGTTGTTTGGTTCTTCACAAGTAACATAAACCTAATTCATTTCACCGATTTTCTGGCTTAAACTGACGGCATACCCCTTCGCAGCAACACAAATTGTTTTTCTAGTAAAGGATTCAGTTTGTCGTAATTTTGTTCGGAATTATAGAATCAATTTTTCGTGCATATTTTGTCGCACCGTAATGATAAGTGATTACAACAATTTGCTGCGGAGTGGGAATTTTTAAATCAAATGCAAAATTTCAAATTAAATCTTACTGTTGGATCATAATGTACTCTATTTTATTCAGTTACATAGATTTTTCCTTAAAAATAAACTAAAATTAAACCAATTTTGTGAAGATTCTTGACCAGAAGGATTAATATTCTGATGCTGAGATGGATAATTGCCATAAACTAATTGCAAATCCCACTAATTTTGAGGTACTTGACCATTCGGATTCCCTTGAGGATGTTGAAGTGAGTTTAAAAATGGATTATTGCCAAAACCTCTTCAAAGCTAACAAGTTTTGAAAATGTTCTGTGCCAGAATACATTCCATCAGAGTATCCTGAGTAATAGTGCAGCTCTTGTTAAAGTGCAGCTCTTTTTATCTTTCACTCCCCTCCTCCATTTACTACGACCCTTTCTGCTCTAAAATTTGTTTACGTGAAGCAGGGATAGGACAATCATCCAAGTAAAATCACATGAATCAAGTGGCAGGCATTAGTAAAGTGCAGCTCTTTTTATCTTTCACTCCCCTCTTCCATTTACTACGACCCTTTCTGCTCTAAAATTTGTTTACGTGGAGCAGGGATAGGACAATCATCCAAGTAAAATCACATGAATCAGGTCTTGGCAGGCATTAGTAAAGTGCAGCTCTTTTTATCTTTCACTCCCCTCTTCCATTTACTACGACCCTTTCTGCTCTAAAATTTGTTTACGTGGAGCAGGCATAGGACAATCATCCAAGTAAAATCACATGAATCAAGTCTTGGCAGTATTACTGTAAGTGCAGCTCTTTTTATCTTTCACTCTCCTCTTCCATTTACTACGACCCTTTCTGCTCTAAAATTTGTTTACGTGGAGCAGGCATAGGACAATCATCCAAGTAAAATCACATGAATCAAGTCTTGGCAGTATTACTGTAAGTGCAGCTCTTTTTATCTTTCACTCCCCTCTATCATTTACTACGACACTTTCTGCTCTCAAATTTGTTTGCGTAGAGCTGCCAAGACTTGATTCATGTGATTTTGCCTGTATGTCAAAAAGATACATTTGACTGAATATCGTTGGATATTTTACAGACTAGATTTTGAATTTTTCGGTAGTTGTTGTTTTAGCTGTAAATTTTTACGATTTATAATGAATCTAAAGACAAAACTCGGTAAAAGAAAACGAACAGGGCCCTCAGTCGGATTCCTTAAGCAATAGACATGTTAATGTCTTTAGGACAACGATGTTATCGACTAAAGAAAAATTCATTCGGAATTTTAAAATTTTTTGTCAGATCAAGTTTCGGTTTAAAAAAAAGCGGAAGTCGAATAACTTAATTGTTTGGGACTGGACCTTGATGGGCTTATAAATGACAGCATATTATTGCGAGGTATGATAACCAACTTTATTTGTAAAGGTTTGCTAGAATATCTGGGAATTTAGTTACAAAAACAAAGGTCTCTTACTAGGACAAGTCCATCGTCGAATAGCTGTAGAATAAACATTTAAAAAAATTAAAATTTTCGAAGAAAACAAATTTGGTGAAATGTCCTCTTAATCTTAATTTTTGTCAATGGTGGGAGGGGGGGGGGGAGAGAGAGAGAGAGAAAGAGAAAAAAATTCACTGCGTCTTATTTAGCATTTTAAAATTACCCTTATAAACCGGCTAAAATAGTTGATGAAAGCAGTCTCTTACTATTTAACGCAAATAAGAAAAACTTAGCATTTGTTTAGCATTTAGAGTCAAATAGGCATTTAAACTTAAATATATTTTTAGATAATTAATAACAAATATTTTTAAATAATTTCAGAAACTAATGAAGCTTTCAATATTTTTAATTCTTTGCTTATTTTTAACGATTCATCTTGTTGATTCAACTAATAGCGATGATGAAAATGATGAAATTAATTATTTCAATCATTTTCAATATCGGGATGGTGAAACAAGCGGGACAGGAACTAGTGGCCATGGAGGAACTGGAACTGGAAGCATACCCTCAAGTGCTGGAGGATTCTCTCAAGGAATGTATTCTGGCACAGAACATTCTCAAAATTTGTTTGATTTGAATCGAGGTTTTGGCAATAATCCATTTTTAAACTCACCTCAACATCTACAAGGAAATCCGTCTCTTCAAGCACCTCGAAATTTGTTGGATTTTCAATTAGGATATAGCAATTATCCATCTCAACATCAGCATATTAACCCTTCTAGTCAAGATTCTTCACAAAATTGGTTAAATTTGGATTTAACTCTTGGCACTAATCAGTCTTTATACCCAACTCAACGTCAACATATGAATGCAGAATACCCTCTTGGAACGAATCCTTCTGGTCAAGAATCTTCTCAAAATTGGTTAAATTTGGGTTTAAATCCTGAAATGAATACTTATAATCAAACAGGTAATTATCACACTATGTCAGACTATCTTTTAGACAACTTTTCAATTATCTACCTAATTATTTTTATCAACTATCTAATTATTATTCTCAACTTATCAACCTTTTAACTATCTAATTATTTTTATGAGCTTATCAACTTTTTAATCTAATTATTTTTATCAACTTATCAATTCTTTAACTCAATTTCAATTCTCAATCATCAATTATGAACTTTCTATTCTCAATTTCAATTGTCACACTATGTCAGACTATCTAGTTAGACTAACTTATTTATCTCATTTATACTATCACACATTGAGTTAACTTTTTAACTTTTTTTAAACAATGCCGGACACTTATCTCAACCACTGATGGATCCTCCTATCTCAAACCATTGTGGGACCGTTTTTCAAGCATTGACACTCTTTATCTTGCTCATTAAAGACCCTTTTTTGTTGCCCATTTATGTAACTCTAACTCTACTTCCATCCATTAGCATAGTCTTTTCAGACATTCTTTTGGCATTCCCGGCTTGGCCACTACAAACAATAAACCCAAAAACATTGCAAAACAAATTCTAAAAAAACTCATTACTTTCTTAACTTTCTAAATACACACTATCTTCTTTTTGTGATATTTTGTTATTTCTAATTAAAAGCACACTATTTTCTTTTTGGGGTATTTTGTCATTTCTAATTAAAAATAAACACAACGCCAAACACAGCAAAATTCAAAGCTGCGGACAAACAAATAGACAGGGAACTCTAAATTTAATATAGGATAGTATGTGCTGTGGAAAAATTCATTAAATGGGAGATGGAATAGAACTATCATGGAAAGATTCCAAGCCGAAACATAGCCGAGCCATCCATCTCATAATCAACCAAACTTCACAAAAATACACCCAGATTCCACATTAACCCTTGATATTTTTTTTATAGCCGTACACAACCACTGAATGGTAAATGTCCAGTTGACTCCCTACATGTCCGCAAAGAGAATGCGCACTTTTCTTCCCTTTCTTTGCATTTTTGGCGTTAAGAAAAATGCCCGCTTAAAGGAAAAGTTCTCCCTCATTTTTCCTTTTCTGTATTTACCCTTTGACTTATGAAAGATTGGAGAGAAAATAATAAAAATTAATTAAACTACTGCATATAGCGATTAATAACGTGCAAACCAGCGATGTCGGGTCGGGTTTCGGATCTGGTTTCTGTTCAAAAAAAGACCGGGTATCTGGGTGGGTCAGTTAAAAAATTTAATTCAGCGGCGAAAATTTTCCTTTATTTTTCTATTATTTAGCATCGCACATAGTTAAAGTTCGATTTAGAAGCCCCCTTAAAGGCAGTTATCCCACTGATCTTTTAAAAATATGTATATTTGAGAATGTTATCCCAAATTTGTATGTTTTTTGATCATTTATAAAATAAAGATATTTGTTTCCATTTTGTTATTATGTATTTCATTTCTCTCTTTCATTAGGGCATAATATGCAGAAAAGGAAAAATGAGGGAGAATTTTTCCTTTAAGCGGGCATTTCTCCTAACGCCAAAAATGCAAGGAAAAGGAAGAAAAGTGCGCATTCTCTTTGCGGACATGTAGGGAGTCAACTGGACATTTACCCCACTGAATCTACTAAAATCCCCTAAATAATATCATCCATTGATTTTACACCCGGACCTAACACTGTTAATACATATTTTGTTTTACTTGACATTTCTTCTGGAAATCTGGCTTCTTGACAAGTGCTTATAAATTTCAGATTTGCTCGTAATCGTACTCGTACCACACCTTTTTTCTTCTTTATACATCAATCAAGCATTTTATAACAAATAATAGATAGGAAATTTTATGATTTCGAAAAATAATGAATTAACTTATTTTACAAATTTAAGATGGCAAATTCTCTATTGTTAAAAATAAAATAGGAGGACGTAATTTAAAATATGATGGTTATATATATAAACATTATAGTCATAATGATAAAAAGAAGACTATCAATTGGTTGTGCAATAAATATTCTAATACTAAATGTGCGGGAAAAGTCGTTACAAAAGGAGTTAAATATGAAAAGTTTAAAGAATTAACAGATGATCAATTAAAAGAAATGAAGATTGACATTGAAGAGCTAGCTAAACACACTTGTGTAAAAAAAGAAAGAATTAGTTATGGTAATATTTTTAAATTTCTAACAATGAGCTTTACTTTCTAAATTAGAAAAATTTAAAATTTACATATGTAAATTTGGGCTGTAGTGTAGTTCACCGGAGGAGTAGTGTAGTTTACCTCATTCGAAAGAGCTCGTCGAGCTGAGTCTAATGACACCAAAATCAACGAAATCCGACTTGATTGGACAAAGTTATGATCTTTTATTTTAGCTCCTTACCTATGGCATCTGTGGAAATTTTTGCTGCTACGGAGGCCCCAAATACGTCCAGAGCAAGGGAGATAGGAATAGGTTTATGTTACGAGCCCAGACCCAGCGCCCGTAGACTCCCCGCAAGGCGCGTGCCCCCGCTCGAAGCGCGGGGTTTTGCATAAGCGCCTCGCCTACGCCCCATAGGTTTAGGTTTTAGTTTTTTTATCATAACTTTGTCTAATCTTGTTCAATCACGGTGATTTTGGTGTCATTTGACTCAGCTCGACGAGCTCTTTCGAATGAGGTATTATTTGTATAAAAAATTTTTTATTCTATAAATCGCTCCTTTGGATCTTCGATTTTTAGGGGTCTATATCTCGGTCCAATCAAGTCGGATTTCGTTGATGTTGGTGTCATTCGAGTAGCTCGACGAGCTCTTTCGAATAAGTTATAATTTGCATTTTCGAAATTTTCACCCCAAAAAAGTGCTTACTCCCCCCTATGGTTTTTCAATATTTCGGGACCTATAACTCGGTCCAGAATCATTTCCTGAAATTGGGAGTGGTACCGTTCGACTCAGCTCGCCGAGACGAATCGAATGACATATGTCTCGTCCCGAACTTTTACCTCCGGTGAACTACACTATATCCTTAAATTTGAATTACTTTCTTTTTAAAATCGGGTTTCGGAACTAATGTCTGTTTTCATATTTTCACATTGGGCCAGTTATAAGTAGAAATTTAAACTTGGAGCCAGTAACTTGGAGGAGTAGTAAGTGTGACAGGGGAATAATTACTAAGGGGAATCATTTTTTAAATATGTTAGTAAATATTGTTTTTAAGAGGAGCCTTATATTATACAATCGCAAAAAGGGAAAGATAAATTAGTTTGTAATGGTTATGAATACAACGAAGTAGTAAAAAGTAAAAATGGAAATATACATTACATATGTAATAAAAGAAAGTGTGGAGGGCGAGTTATATATGAATATGAAGGAAATAACTACATACTAACAACAAAACATAATCCACAATACCATAATGGAGGAGAAGGTAAATATTGAAAATTTATATAATTATGTATATAGAAATTTATCTAAATCGCACTGCCTGGTATTAGTGTTTATTGTAAACTAGTTAACTAACAAATACATATCCAAGAATAAAATTTATTCAACTAGTTGCAATTCCTTTATTTTATATAAGCAGTATATTAAGCCGGAAAAATTCACATTTTGAGGGCAAAGTAAAAAATTTTCAGAATTATATTAAAATTGCAAGTTCTAATTGTTCTATTTTTAATTAGTAAATTATTATCTAAAAAATATATTTCTTATTATGAATTAATTTTACTAATATTCACCCTGTAAAACTATTTTATGTTTAAAATTTATAAACTAGGATTTGATCCTCAAGAAATGCAACAAGCTATTAATCAGTCTGCTGAAGAATATCAAGAACGACGGTGTCGAGCACGTGGAGTGATAATTGGAGGTTTAAACATATTCTTTTTTTTTATTTCTTTTTTGACCATTTTATTGGTAATTCATTTCCGTTCCCATTACTTATCTTTTACGAAAATTCCAATAAATTAAACAATCATCACTGTTTAATATTTATTTTCCACCATTATCCCAATCATACATCGACTTTTCCAAAATGTACAGTTTGTATTACATATTCAATCACTCAATTTTCACCATTATTTAACAAAAGGCTGAAAAACAAATATTAATCACTCAATCCCCAATCACCCCCAACCGGCGCTCTGAGGGGCGTCAGACCGAAATCTTAGCGGCATAACTTTATAAAAATATAAATTTTAATAATTTAGAACCTGCCCAAGGTCAAGGATCTGGGTCAAATCAAGGTAAAAAGAATATCTGTTTTGACAAAATATTGTAATAGTGAAATTAAAAATATAAACGTAAAAAAATAAATGAATTAAATAATAAATTCAGGAGGAAGTTCTCGTCAACGAGGCAAACAACGCCGAGGAAGCAATCTAGGACCTGGAGGTTTTTTATCGAAAATTAAAAAATAAAGTGAAAAAACTAAATTTTAATAATTTCAACAGGTAAAGGAAAGGGAAAAGCTCTAGACTAACATGTTGGCAACACTGTATGTGATGAAAAGAAAATTTGAGTTGGAAAAATTGAACAGCATCATAGCCGGAACTGTTACTTGAGCATCAGCCAAATTTGTTCGGTTATAACTTTTTGCTGCTTAATCCAATACAAATATTTTATAAATCATTCGAAAGCCCTATTGGATAAATCAAGTCTGATCGCTCTATAAAAAATTACAAGTCGATAAGAATGAAAAACAACGATTTTTAGCACTCATCAGTCTTAACTTTTTAACCGATGATCCTACTTGATACATACAGTTAGGTTAAGGATTGGGCTTTAGAATTATTTAAGATTTATTCGGATTTGATCAAGCTTAAATATGTTATAGTCGATCAAATTTGGCTGACGCTCAAGTGGCCACGCCCGACTTTCCCCAATCCACATAACGTACACAAAAACTCTATTAGAATGCATCCAGTTGAATGCCACTCTCCTATAGAATACCACCCTCATTTGAAGGCCACCTTTTTTAATGCCAAAATTTTTTAAATATGAAAATATATTCAATAAAAAGCGATTTCTATACACTTTTCGTAGTCTATTTCGTAAATAAATTCACAAATTCAAGGGATAGGTGATATCGGTGTATTAAAACGATTAAGGGAGATTTAGATTGATATTGTGGCATTTGAGTAACTAAG